AGAGTAGATTGAACTCAAAAAGTTGTTTTATTCCTATTGGCACTCAGCATTATTATTTAACAAGGGATCTGTTACACAGTTTAACTAAACAATAGGTCACACAATGTGCAGAAAATCCTTTGAATCTGCTGTACATCTAGACTTTGAAGTTCTGTTTTAAAAAAAAGGGACTCAAAGCAAATGACTTTTCAAGATCTGCTATGAATATTAACAGCAGCCTTGCTGTGAATATCTCTACATGAATACATCTTTCTCATTTGAATCTTAACCCTTTTGGCTTAGGTGATCAACATACGTGGATAAGGGCAAGAAAGGGAACAGGGATTTAGAAAATCAGATTGATTTGAAGGAAGGCTATTACAATGTAAAAGGATATTATTTCAATTAAGTATGGCTCCAGCTGTCTAAAGATTTCAGTGCAAAACTGCAGGCTATAAACATTAGCCTGTCAGGTGAATAGTTTCATAACTGTATGGAAACAAATATTTCTTTGGACTACTTTGATTTTAATCTAGTTTATTCAGCTAGAATATTAGAACTCTATAGATTGACTAATAAACACCTATTTTCATTCTAAAGTATTAAAAACTTAATAGGAGTAACCCAAGAGCAAAATTGTGTGATGACACCATCTGCTATCTGCAATGCCTTGGAAACAGAAAAATGCTTTTAAAACTATGGCATAACTTGTTTCATCTCATCTCTCTTGCTGCTGTCTTTGTAGTCTCAGCAGCAGCACCATGTAGTTAGTTAGGGTTCCCTGAGCTTCACCAGGTTACTTACCTAATATGGCCAGATCCCAGAAAAACCATCCTGTCTCTCATTTCTTCTATTTGCATACAGCTGAGCTCACGGGCTTGCAAAGGTTGTCCTTGACTGTACCCTAGTCCATAGAACAGATCAAAGTAAGTTAACAGCAGGTGGTCTGAGAGTCCCACCTCCTCTGTAGCTCCTCAGCTGGGGTAACTCAGAGCCCAGCACCCACACCAGCTTATTCCCTCATCCCAGAGTCCTTCCATAGCACAGGGGCTGCTCCTTACCGGTTGCATCTCAAGGGAACAGCAAAATATGATGGAAGGGTGACTCGGACTTTGCTTGATCCTGCTTAAGCAAGATATCTGTGAGTGGCCATACAATTACATAAAAGGTAATTTTTGACTACTCTGGATTATAAGGCAGAAAAAGCAAGCAAGGGTCTTTGCATCTCTGAAAATTATTTTAATGTAATAATCCACAGTTTGGAACCTATCCTTTTTATTTTTTTAATAAAATATTTGCAATTTCTAGCTTTTTTAATGTACATGCTTGTCTTTCTACCTCCTCCTCCTCTCTCCAGATCAGCTGGTTGCCCTGGGAAGATGCCATCACTGCAGGGAGTCTTACTAAGAAGCTGGGGTTAGTTATAGTTCTGAATACACTCAGGCTTATGTTCATTATCAATAGAGAAGATTAGGTTGAGTTCCACAGCTGGAACCTGCTCCTGAAAGTGGTCTGTTGATCTACCCTTTGCACTTAAGAATTTTATGCTGGGACAGATTACTTCAAGTGTCCCTGTGGAGTATGGTTGTAGGTTCATGATGGGATAGGAATTCAAAAAATAGATTAGGCCCAGCATGCTGTCTGCTTTTTAGGCCAGCAGTAGCTGCTTGAATTCAAGTTAGAAAGAGATAAGCAACCAGAAGGACGATGGATGTGCTCTGTGCAGCCTGCTTTGCCCAGTGACGGTCTCATACCAGTTGCATCAGTTGCCTAGTTCAGCCTGAAGTGTTGAACATAAAGACTCTGGTCAGAGACAGATTAACAGGTTGTGCTGAAAGTAGGAAGTAGCAAGAACTGGTCTAAGCATGTCTCTTATTGCATAAATTCATTAATAATAATGGGGGGAATTAGCATGGCTTTCACTCTGTTACAGGGAACTAAGACCTCTGTCACCCAGCGTTAAGTGTGTAGGAAAATGAAAATTTTCTGGCTAGACAGTGAAGGAAGGGATTATTTGGGGCCTCTGATGCAATCTCCATATCAGTGCACCTTTGCTCTTTCATTTGTTGTCATTGATTTTCCTTGTTCTTTTTATTTGTTTTTTCTTAGCAGCTTTTGAAAAGTGAAAAGGTTTGGGGTTGAATTTTGAATTCTTAGAGATGTTGGTTCCTCTTCCTTCTAGGTTTGTGCCCAGGATGTATCCTGAGGTCTGATAGTAGTAATAACGCTCTTGATCCAGCAGAAAACACACAGCTTTTTGAAGAGAACATGTCATGGTTTCTATTATTCAATTGTTTAGCAGAGAACAAAACCTTCTTAGTAACCAAATAATGCATGCTGTAAATTCAAACTTAGTAATGGTAACTTCCTGACTGAAAGTTGGTGTGCAGCTTTCTCATTTTATTTTGTCTTATTTGTTATTAAAAAAAAAAAGGAAATAAAATACCTGGAACTACTGCTTTATTGTTTTCCTGTGAGATGTATCCAAAAAGCTGATAAATGGAGTTTGGTTTAGGTTTTTTCTCTTTTTGACTGAATGATTAAATCTA